AAAAGATGATCACAAATCAATTTCCAACCGAAAAGTTATGCTCCGATATTTTAGTCTCATATTGAGACCTATTTTTGGCATAGAAAGTAATCGAATTGGAGAATAATGTCTGAATCAAAGTTGTAGCCAGATGAGTTAGCTTTCTAACGCAATTTGAATCGCCTCAATCGGATATCGGAATACAAAGTTATGATAAAAACACTGAAAGAAGGTGCAACTGCCTGTTTAAAACAAGAAATTCCGTTACAAATTCCGTTAAAAACAAGAAATTCCGTTACATAGCCACTTTTAATATATAAGATAGCCACTTTTAATATATAAGAAGAAGATATAGTTGATTCTTCATGTTTTCAATATTTTGCAAGTCAAGCCTTTAAAAAAAAAAAAATTGTTATAATCGAGATTGAGACGTGCTCTAAATTTGAGATTGAGATGTGGTCAAACGTAGTACTACAAGAGCGTTGATCTAACTGAGATTGAAATAATCCTGCTCGAGAAAGGATCGATCCAATTAAATTTATAATAATCGATCAATTATGTTTAATAAGTATGTCACATCATCACATTTTTTGTTTCAAACTAAATATGAAATCTTATTTGTGTTTTACGACGTATTATTATAGTCACTCAATTTTATAAAATTTCAGGTACATGATTATTAGGGGACGATGTAATATCGAGGCAATGGAAAATAATGATCATATTTCGTAATACCAACAAATCATATTTAAACTTAAGCAAATAAGTTTTTGTTTTATTTTGTTGCAGCATGCAGATTTTCATGTTACAATTTAATTTTTGACTCCATAATACAAAAAGTCTGGATCCGCCCCTAATTTGATGCGACAATTCTGGATATATATACATGCATGTTTTAGATGCTTTGATTTTATTTTTATTTTTTACAGAATTTATGCTTTCAAAGTATGCACTGAAGGTCATGCATTTTTGAAATGATTTATTGTAACCCTAATTCTTAAGAAGAGAGGGGAATGATTGATAGATAAATTCAACAATTTAAGATTAAGATGTATTTATCTTTAGTTGATCATATCCAAGACTGGTGTTAATAGGTTCGGGCATGAGAGGCGAGTCAGTTTTGGAATGCCTTTAAGAGATTCGAAATGAATTCAAACCATGGTTAATTTTGAAACCTATAGTATTTAGAAAACTTGATAAGTGAGGATAGATTTTTGATATAGTTCCAATCGAGAAAGGAATGTACGAAAACTCATTAGTACGTTATGTTGATTAAAGGAATAAACTTCCAAGATTATAAGTGGTTCAAGAATTTTTGGATATATTGCAAGATGACATTTCGGGTTTTTTTTTTTTTTTATATCCAGATGTCCACATTCGACGACTAATCCTGGATTCTACGACTTGACCTCTCAAGACGCAGATCAGGTAAACCGCTGAATGTGCCCTAAACTGGTCAGGGTCCAAAAGCTCTATCCACTGATATGCCAAAGTGTCGAGCTAGTCAACACATATTGCACATTGCCTTTCAAGAGAACCCCTTTTTGAACATATATCAAATTGACTTTGGAAGTTCTTTGCTGAGTGACGTCGATTGGATTACAAGGATTGAAGGTTTGATTACAAAAATTATTATATAAGGATTTAATCAGTCAATTCTGCCAATCTAGTATGTACCAATTGTTGTTTATAAGGAAAAAAAAAATGACAGATCGATAAGGATATACATAGACTATAAAGAATTGAACAGTAAGTCACAAGTCTTTGTTCATTAGGATTATAATCAGATCCATTCATTCATTCTTCTTCTTCTTTAATTGATATCAATTAATTATTTAAAATCAATACCTTAAATTCTTTTATAATGTTAGCCAAACGGTGAATTCGTCAAAATCGTGCCAAAACAAGATGGAGAGAGCACAATGTGAGATTAGATCCTGAAAGGGTTAACATATACATTTGGTCCTTAAAGTTATAAAAAGAAAAAGTTATTTCTTAATATTTAGAGCTTGTTTGGGACGGATTAAAATCCAATTAAAATTGAAAATATAGCCGTTATTGGGTCCCACTCGTCTAATAAAAGTCAACTCCAACGGCTATATTTTCAATTTTAATCTGATTTTAATCCCTCCCAAACAAGCTCATAATGTATTATTATTGTATTTACCAATTCTATAAATAATCAATCAAAATCTCCAGGTTTATATTATTTCTGATTTTTTATTCAGAGCGTGTTTGTTTTCGATTAAAATCCAATTAAAATTGAAAATATGGCTGTTATTGGGTCTCACTCGTCTAATAAAAGTCAACTCCAACGACTATATTTTCAATTTTAATCTGATTTTAATCCCTCCCAAACAAGCTCTTATTATGTTCTAAATCAATTGTAAAAGTTTCCTAATAGTTTCAATTTGATCAATGTGTCAGTTAAGTTTTGTGAAATCCTATGTAGATCGTACAGAGTAATGTTATATAACACTACTAATGTTAAGTATCAGTTTAGGTGACATACAAGTGTCACTAATTGATAAAGTATCTTAAAAATAAGTTACTTTTAAGATATCTTATCACTTTTAATCACCTAAATCGGTGTTATAGCCACTACTGATGCATAATATCATTCGATCGTAAAACTTCTTGTGTTTATTTCCATTGCAACACAACCTTAACAATGCTAAAAATAGAATGACAAGATCCCGAAGACTTTCTCCCAATTGATTTTATGTTTAGGTTTATTTAGAATTCTAAAATCAGTTTCCGTACGTCAGCTTAAAATAAATGGTAAGAAAAACAAGTTTCACGGTTTGTGTGTTTGTAGTTACACACAACCGCCATTACGATTTACAGAAGGTTTCACGTTAACTTAACTGACAAATTAATCGAATTGAAATTATTTTAGCATTTTCAGGAGATTCTTTATTTTTAATGATCATCTTCTATAAATATTAGAAATCTTCTTTAAATGTAAAGAGTAAAATTTTTGACATATTCTAACAAGGCCTTTATTTTACATTTTTAATAACAATTTATTATTTTTGCCATCTTTTTCAAATATCTTTTAAATAATATATTTATTAACCGAAATATTCAAAGTCGAGCACTGAAACTTGTAATTTATCAAGTACAATTAATATAAAATACAAATGGAGGGTGAGTTTTGCTGTGATTAAAAGTATGTTGAAGCTTATCTTCAAGGGTTAATTCTTTAGGGACTAATTTAGTATAAAATTGACTTTACAAGGACCAAATGTGTATTTACCCCATTCTGAAATGAGATATGGGACATGAGGCTCAAAATATTTGCTCAGAAAACCTCCTCCTTCCTTCCTTCCTTTCACACACACGCATGCACTAAGAACGTGAAAGAACACACATTTGTATGCACTAAAATGCAGCTTCTTCGCGCTCCATCCTCTTCCACCTTGCCATTTCATTTCTCGAATTCACAACCCAGAGGAAGTAAGTTTTGCTTTATATATATGTTTATACATCACATATATTGAATTGAAACTCCTTTGTCATGCCTTAATTTTCATATTTGTCGGTTCCTGATCGATATATGTAGTATAGTCGACAAATCTCTTGTTTGATATCCTGTTAATTACCTGTTTCCATCTCAAGGAAATGAAAGGCCTGCATGGGTTTCGTTTAAAGATTCAGCGTGGAGCTCAATCACACCTAAAGCTGCTTCTGTTCAAGGTGGATTTTTTCTTCCAAACAAATTCAATTTACCTAATAATGAAAACCCATTTCTAGAATTTGACTAAATGCAATTGGATTATATGCACAATATTCATATACTGGTTGTGCTGCAATATGAAGAAAATTTTGAGTTGTTATTGAAGAGCATTAAACAAGAATGTAACCTGAAAATATTTTGTGTTCAATCTCCTTACGAGTTTGAAGGTTTGTATGAGCTTCTAGGGCAGAGCTCAAAACAATATTTGAAGGAAAATGGGCGTTAGTCATTTTTTTCTTCCACACAAATTCAATTTTGTTGTTAGTCTTTAGTTTCCTCTGTTTACTGAAATAAATATGGGCGTTACTTCCTTCTTTTTTGGCAAGAATGAGGGAAAATTTTTATGGACTGGTATAATAACTTTCCAAATCCTGCTGCTGGACGGTATTGCATTTCGAATGAATTTTTTTGGAAAGGTTGTATCTAGAAGAAGGTGGAAATTCTATTCACACGAATGAGATTACATTCGAGAAATGTGCATATTGGCTTGAATTAGAAGTATATATAAATATTTTCCTAAAGAAAATGTTAGTTCTAAGTTAGAAAAATTATTTCAGTAAGTTCCCAATCTTGTTAGAAATTTTTGCATATGAACAGAATGCTATTTCTGAGTAAAAGTTTTTAAGTTCCCAGTTATCTTACCAACAAGGAAATATGGTTGGAACTAGTTATGAAAGGCTGAAAGAATTATCACAAACTCGTTTGTATGATTTTAAATGTCCAATGAAAAAGTTAAGATCCTTAGGAATCTAGATTGGAATCAGAATTGGTTTGATATTTTTGGATTGCGAGATTCTAAGAGCTGGACCAAGATTTTGATAATAATGTTATGGGTCCTGTACCTATGCCTATTTTTATGTAATCCTTACTGTAAATACCCTTGGAGAGCATCATACTGTAACAACATTTATGTGATTAAGCAATAGCTATTACAATTTTTATTTTTTCAAGTCATTCGGACCAATAGCTACGTAGTAGTCCAGTTCTTATGCTTGTTTTTGTAAAACCATTAAACTAAATATCCTTGGAGAGCAAAATATTTTGATTATGTTTTTGTGGTTAACCATATATTACCATTTTTTGTGAGTCATGCACACCAATAAGAAATAGCCAGGATACTCATACTTATTATCTTTCCCACACTCTATATGTCATTAAGGCAGCATTTTTGGCTTTTACTCTTTTTATATAAAGTTGTTCTTATCAAAATTTTAATTGCAGCTTCTACTTCAGCAGTATCAAGTCAAACAGCTGAGACTGATGTGCTGAAATCCTTGTCTCAGATCATAGATCCAGACTTTGGTACAGACATTGTCTCTTGTGGATTTGTGAAGGACCTTAATGTGAACAAGGCACTAGGAGAGGTTGTTTAGAAATTAGATGTGATGAGATCCATAAAAACTACATGATGACTGATGTCCTCATTCAAATTTTATACATTGAATCTCAGGTTTCTTTTCGGTTAGAGCTGACAACACCAGCATGTCCAATCAAGGACATGGTAAATGTCACCATCACCATTGTTTTATCAAGATTTGATGTGTGTATCAAGTGGTACATACCCTTTTTAACTAATTCTTTTTCTTCTCACTTTTTCTGTTGGATGGCAAATTATCAAACTAATTTCTATTGCACACGTTGCACAGAGACTGACGAAGTTTTGTTTGTTTAGAGATGATGTTGTTTTGAGTACATTTGCAACATACCTAATGCCATCAAAAAATTGTATCTCTAGTTCGAGAAGCAGGCTAATGAGGTGGTGGCAGCACTTCCCTGGGTCAAAAGGGTGAGTGTTACAATGTCAGCCCGACCAGCAAGACCTGTTTATGCGGGGAACCTTCCAGAAAATCTGCAAACAATATCGAACGTCATTGCTGTTTCAAGTTGCAAGGTACGACCATCTAGTACCTGATGACTCTCTTAATTCTGTATCAGCGTAAGATGTTCTAAAGTAAGTTTAAAATATATTACCAAAACAAGTTTTTCTTTCCAATATTGATGTTTGCTTTATTTTCTTTTCCCCATTTAACCTTACCTTTTGGATTAATGAGTATCATGCAGTGCACAATGATCATCTACCTTGTTCACTGTGAATCTCATTTTCTGTCATTTTAGGAATTAAATCTTGGCATTTTTTTGTCTTGGTGTCCTGGTTGTTTATGGAAAAGAAAATTTAGTTCATACCTTTTATTATCCTGGGATTCTCGTATTTTCCTGCACTGTTTCATGAGGGAAAACTATAAGCTTTACTTTGTGAAGTGAAGACCTGAGCCTGGAGAGAGCTAACAATGCTCTTAAGGAGTGGCAGTAGAGTTCCATCACTATTAACCCGTCATATTGTATAATTGTGTTATGTTCTGCTATAACACCACATGTGCGCATATAAATATACACATACATTTATATACATTTTCAGTCTGAATTGGCTTCTCACTGTGACTGTAGGTCAATGAACCAAAACTCATAAACCTTTTATCCCTTTATTGCCCTGCTTTTATGTATGTTGTCGAGTGTCATTTAATGTTCATTAATTTCCTAGAAGCAGACCAAAACTTTCTTTTGATATATTAATACTCCTATAATTGAAGGGAGGGGTGGGAAAATCAACAGTAGCTGTGAACCTTGCATATACTTTGGCTGGTATGGGTGCAAGAGTTGGGATTTTCGACGCAGATGTGTATGGCCCTAGTTTGCCAACGATGGTCTCCCCAGAAAACCGGTTACTTGAAATGGTAATCTTTCAGTTTTTGTCCAAAAAAATTTGCAATTCATTGAATCACTTTTTAATCTTTGAAAGAGATATTATAGAATCCGGAGAAGCGAACCATCATTCCAACCGAATACTTGGGTATTAAGTTGGTATCATTTGGATTTGCTGGGCAAGGACGTGCAATAATGCGAGGTCCAATGGTTTCAGGGGTCATCGATCAACTATTGACTACTACTGAATGGTATGACATGTTTCCTAAGTGAATCAAAAAGTTCAATTAACAATATACAATTTATAGTGAATTGTGTTTTTAGGAATTTATTGATAGTTCTTGGTCACTGGGATATTTATCCTGTCAACCATTTCTTTTTTGATTGTCCTTGATATAATTAAGCATGGCAACTTTTAAAGCACCTTACCAATTGGGCAAAGTCCAGAAATACTCATAAATGAAGACTGTTTCTTAGTGTTATATCAAATGCTTCACTAGATATTGATTTTATCACAATGGTCAAATATTCTGAGTTGATGTTGCTTTGTTTGATTGCCCTTCTTGACATACCCCTATTCTAAACTTGATATCAATTTTATTAGTCAATACAGTATCTGAGATGGATGTGGCTTTGATTAGATTTGACATCACGAATACCAGTTTTATCCTAATTGTTGCTACTATATAGGGGAGAACTGGATTACCTCGTTATTGACATGCCCCCTGGAACGGGTGATATTCAACTCACCTTATGCCAGGTATTGTTTGATGCCTGTTTGATGAGATGATTTCGTTCAACGGAGTCCCTTACAAACATAGCTATATAGTTAAGTGATACTCTTGATTAACTTAGCTAGATTCTACTGTCAGGTTGTTCCATTGACTGCTGCTGTCATTGTTACCACACCTCAGAAGCTAGCATTCATAGATGTTGCCAAAGGAGTTCGCATGTTTTCAAAGCTAAAGGCATGTTTCTTATATTCTCTAATGTGCTCTCCTGGCGATTTTTGTCATTTTAAATGAATTCAGTGCAAGACAAACAGATCAATTAGGATAGTTTTAGGCAGGGTTGTCTTTTGAGCTATGTCCAAGTAGACAATGTTCTTTTGTTTACATTTTCATTGTATATCGTGTTGACAGGTTCCTTGTGTAGCTGTGGTTGAAAACATGTGCCACTTTGATGCTGATGGACAACGTTACTATCCATTTGGTAGAGGGTCAGGTTCTCAGGTTTCCAACTGCTTTCCTGTATAATTTTTGTTTTGCCTGTCCCACTTTTCAGCCACTACCAGAAAATTTCGCTACAAAAAGATGGACAATGATAATAAATCATTTAAAATAGTAACAAAACAATGTCAAAGAATGCTGTGAGTTTCCGACATTTCTGCAGATTTGAACTTCTGTCTCATTTCTACATACACAACTGCAGGTTGTTGAGCAGTTTGGTATCCCCCATCTTTTTGAGCTTCCAATTCGACCAACTGTAAGTTCCCATGCACGATATGCTGTGATCGTTCTTTAGATACATATTTAACTGGGAGATCTAAGCAGTATAAACAGTCTATAAACTTTGTTTATTCTCATTCTACTGTACTATAAATAAAAAAAACTAGCTTTTTTCATTGAACTGTTGATCGGAGGAAAAGTTTCTTATTGTCTAAGGCAAGATTATCTTACTATCTTTTTCTCATCAAATCCTTTGCACCTGACCAGTTAATGAGAATTTTTGCACAGTAAGTAAAGTGCATATAAGTTGTACACTATATTGTTTTCTGTCAAAATATAATTTTTCCCGTTAGCTAGTTGACGTTTGGAAGCATGCCATTGTTGTAAATGAACAATTTTTTTTTCTATTTAAATATGTTATATATAATGTCATGATAATAGTAATGTGAATCCCCCCAAACAATGGATCTAACTGTGCTTCACGCTCCAAAATTTTGATGATTCGCATTTACATTTCTGATTCAATTATTTTACCTTCATTTAATTTGATGTAATTTTCCAATAACTAACAAAATTTTATAGGGAATATTTGGACACTTATTACTTCACCTTCAATGCTATTTTATTTATTCTTTTTACACTATTCAGATTTCTTTGTATCCTTAAAGATGGATAGGAATTTGCAATTGGAATATAAATATGTTTATTTTAGTATTATCCTTCACTTCACAGTTATCAGCTTCCTCAAGAACATTTCAAGAGTTGGGCATTAGTGTGGTGCAACAATGTGCCAAGATCAGTCAACAAGGTCGCTTAATCTTCTCTCTTTATTGAGCTGAGGGTAGATTTTAATTCAAAATGTAGGAAAACTTAGGTGCTAGTTTGCTACCTTTATTCAAATGGTGCAAGGCTTCTTTAGTCCTAAAGCTAGTATATGGGACTAAACCAGCCATCATTAGCCAAGGTCGACATTTGGCTCAAATTTGTGAAGATCTAATGTTTATACTCTTGGTGTAGACTTTCTAATAGAGTATCTTTGTTTGTTACAGTATCAACTGCTGTCACTTATGATAAAGGTATGAAGGCAATCAGGGTGAAAGTACCTGATTCAGATGAAGAGTTCTATTTGCACCCTGCAACTGTTAGACGAAATGATCGATCTGCTCAAAGTGTGGTAAGTGGAATAATCTTTGCAATTCAGTCATTGAGAAAAAATAAATCAACAGCTAGTTATATGTCAGCAAACTGTAACAAGTACAAAAATTTATGGTACACAAATTAAATTGAGAATAGTTATGGAAACATTAAAATTGATCTTACAATCACTATCTATGGTGCCACTTTATATGCTTAAGTGATTCACAGTCAGGGACAACTATGATTTGGATATCCAATTTGTGAAACAGACAATCAGTCCAAAATCTCAAGGGAAGTGATTTGTCTGCATCACTTCAAATGTAAAGTCATTTGTGAAAACAGCTCTACTTTGAAATATGAAGTCTAGATTTTTTGTAAAAAGGAAAAGCTTAGAGGCCGGAAAATGTGTTTACTGCCTTTACGGTTGTTAATTTTAGATAACAGTCGTGCATGCACAAAATATCTTGAGTTAATATCACCACAGTTAGATTCATTTGATAAAGTATCATGCTAATGGTCAAACGCCATGCTGAAATTCATAAAAGTAAAACTGGGTAATGTAGCACTGCATATAGGTCATGCAACTTATGGGGAAAAAGTTGCTAGAATTTAGATTTTGGAACCACAAAGTAGACAAAAAATTACTTTCTGGTTTGAGAACCCTTGACAAAGTACAGCTCTTAATCCTTGCTAATAGACATTTCATTTTTGGTCGAAACAGGATGAATGGACTGGTGAGCAGAAACTACAGTATGCTGATGTTTCAGAGGACATTGAACCTGAAGAAATTCGGCCTATGGGAAATTATGCTGTATCGATTACGTGGGCGGACGGATTTAGCCAGGTACAATTATCTATTCCTATTTTCTGCTGGTAAATGATCAATGTTTCGAAAAACTATTTGTTAAAGGGAATTCGTGCAAGGAGATTCTAGCTGCTTAGCAACGTATTGTCCTACAGTTCAATCTACTTATTAACCTCTACTGTAAAAGTTCATTCTCAAGATTACATACTAAACTCCCAAAATCGTCTCTGGTAACATAAAATTATGCCTGTTGGACACAGTTAAATGCAAGCGGATGAATAAGTAGAATGAGAACATAGAAGTGCTTATACCATCCTTGGAATTCATTAAATATACTATGTGAAAGAGCATGAGCATGATGAGCCTTTGTTTCATGTTCAACTAAATGGTGGCTCGGAGCAAACTTCAGTATTCAGCTTTGTGCTGATGATATTTTCGTATGTTGTTTTTCTTGCAGATTGCTCCTTATGACCAGCTGCAAACAATGGAACGCTTAGTCGATGTTCCGCAGTTGATCTGAATGGAAATGTCTGTTCTGAGTTTATATCATAGATGCTGAAAGGACCCCACGATCATTTTGTGCCCTTGTGGGTCTGTTGTAATCACAAGCAAAGATGGAGTATACATTTACTATGAATATATGACTCTAAAGATACTTTGATTTTTTCAATCCCACATCTCAGATAGTCAAATCTCTCTCAGAGTTTATAGCTTAGGGTTTACCATGCTCTTATCAACCACTCTTTAAAATAAGTAGGTGCAATGTCAATGACACAATAAAATTAGTTTGAACCCATTAAAAAAGCATAGACATCCATTCCCTTTAAGTGGAACTTGAAAAATACCAATTCACGGGAGTCAAATAATTAATAGCATCGTATCGACTATCACATAAGTCAAATTATTCGAAGTGCGATTTTCACATATTTTAGGAAGCTTTTCGCCAAATATGAGGTGATTTAGAGTATGTTTGACTGGGCAAGGATGTTATCAAGTGAAAATTTATGCAAATTTAACTTCTTATAAAAGTGTTTTCAGTAAATAATAAAGAAATCCATTGATGTCTTCGCCAGATAGAAAAACAATCCATGTAGTTTTAGAAAGTCGGAGGAGCAATTTGAATGAAGCCCTGTTTGGCCCTCATTTTTGGGGGTTGAAAATTTTTAGAATAGTGATTGATAGGGGAATGTGTGGTTGAAAAGTTTTAGATTTGTGTGTAATATTATTTTATTTGATGAATGCGTGGTTAAAATGAAGAGAGAAAAAATTAATGTAATGAAATTTAATTTAATGGGGCTCAAACGGGGGCGAAGTCTCTTTTACATCTCACACTTTCTCACTTTGTTGTTCTAAAATCATGATTTTTCTTTTTTGAAAAATAGATAGTCACAATTTGTAATTTGTGATAAAATTTCGTGATCTATAATTTAATCATATCACGGTCACATTACTACATAATTTGTGATCACGATCACATGTCAATCACAAATTATACAAGGTCACAGTCAGAAAGACACAATTGTAGGTTACAATAACTTACAATTTATGGTCACAATTATGTACAAATCATAGAACATCACACTCACAAAGGCATAAAATGTCGACCAATTTACTCAGAGATATAGATTTATAGGTCATAACTTATTTATCGATCACATATTATTAAATTAATTGATGACAATTTATTTATCCGTCACAAAACATTTTTTATGTTGCATATTATTTATTGGTAACAAATTATTCGTTTTATTGGTTATCATTATTCAATAATTGGTTACAATTCCACCCCACCCACTCTACCATCGCCGAAATCACCAAAAAACACATATGCCCCCTCACCATGATTATTGCATAACCACCTCGCATATTTTATCAAAAACGCTACCGACATGCCGCCTCACCATGCCACCACCATCAAAATGCAAATTTGTACCTACATTGCACAACCACCATCATGCAGATTTTTTTACCGTCGATTTCTCATCTGTACTATGGCTTCAAAGAAAAATCATTTTTGAACTTTAAATTCATATACCATACACCCTACCCATTCCACGCTCAAAATGATTTGCATATACCCAAAAGCACAATTAGGAAATAAGTTTGCATCTGCTCGGAAGAAAAAATAATTTTAAACTATACACTCACCTACCCCACAATCAAAATGATTTGCATTCTATACAAAAGCACAAACAGGAGGCCTCTCCTCTGCATCAGAGACGAAAGAAAAATCATTTTTAAACTATACACCCACGCCACCCACCCACCCCATAGTCAAAATGATTTGCATCTACCGAAAGCACAAGTAGGAAAAGTTTTGCATGTCACAATGCATATCCAATTATCGACATTTTTTGATACAATTTATATATCTATATCTCTCTTGTTTTGCATTTACGAGTATATATTTAAGTTTTGGGGATTTTGAAAATGTACGCCCAAAATTGGGGTTTTAATATCGCTAAGGAGTTTGAGCTGAGCTGTGTATGTAACAAAATTTGTGTATATGTGTAATCTCATTCTATAGTGATATTGAACCATTAACAGGGTATCCTCGTCCTCTAGCTCATCTGGTACATGTAAATTTTCAATGATAACTAGTTATAAAGATGAGAAATCAAACGAGGTGAATGCAAATAGGTCAACGTTGGTATCAGATCATTGTTTCGACGTTAGATCTATGCCGACGCCTAGAGAGAGATTGGCTTGGTTAAGGAGTGTGTACAAGCTGTAATATGTTGAACTGTGGCATTCCTATGAATTTAACTGTTACATAAATGTGTGATAAAATGTTCATCGAATAAGATAACGAAGTGGATTGTGCATGATCCTGAAAAAATAATATGCTACACTCAGGTTTTATCTTTCACCGTGATCTTTACTCGTGTCTTATTTTTTTCGAATGAAAATATTTTGTGAAATCATATTATTGGCTTGTTTGATTATTGCGTACGAAAATCCATTCCACAAAAGTGTAGAATTAGCTATAACGTGTACAATTTTTGTACGACCCGACCACATACGACCTTATGTTTGAGGTCATGATAACCTCGAGCACTCTCCCTGGGCCAGAACATCTTCGGGCTCGTATAAGTGAGCTCGAACTTGGGCTTTAAGCACTTGGACATCTCGTGTCCCTCATCAAGTCCCCTAATTTGATAAGATACTTATCTAAACTCCAAAATACTTTAAAAATTTTTAATCAAATGAAGATGCATAATTGATTTATCTTACTAAGAGTGCACTATCTAATCCTACTAGGAGTGTACTATCTACCTTTATAAATGCAAAACCTTGGATTGTTATTCAAGTCCGCTTACATTCAATTTATAATCTTACACTTACATTTTTTTCCATCACTAACTTAAGTATCGAAGAGGCAACGATGTTACGACGCCTTTGTTTAGGGTATTAGAGATCATGTTCGTGTTTATTTCTAGTCGTCAAGCTCGAATATTAACATGTGCAGATAGCTATGTCAACGAGCCGAGTCGAGCCCGAGTCGGAAAAAAGCTCGGGCTCTTTTTTGGACCGAGCTTTTTTCGGCACGAGCCGAGCCGAGTTGGGCCCGGCCAAAAAAAATGAGGCTCGGTCCGAGCCGGCTCGGTTTTGTTTTTCCGGAAAATTTGCATTTTTTGAAAAAAAGAATTGTACATTTTATGCGTGTTATAAATGAAATAGTGAAAACCCTCCTCCTTTATCCGGATTTGGGACCGACTACAATTATGTATGCGGAGTTAAAATTGTACACGAATAAAATATTCGTGTACAATTTTTTCTTGAAACAAAAAATGGTCTCATGTGTTTTAAAAAATGTCGGCCCGTGGTCCCCACCCCCCAATGTGATTGGAGTGTAAAAGATTTGGTAAGTGTAGCATGACTCTTACTTTTAGGGTTGAGTCACACCTTTCAAGATCCTATTCCTGCACGAATCTAGGAGAACAATACAATGTGACAAATAGAGCCCTTACATCAATACTGCTTCTTGCCCTTTCTTTTGGTGAACTTTAAAATTGTATCTCAATGCAATGGTGGATCTAGGGTGGGTCACTTGCCCCCACCAATTTTTTTGACTTTTTTGTTTTTATTTTTATTTTTTTATAAAAAATGTAATAAATTGATCAAAGTAGGAAAAATGGGAATCGTGCATTAACGTTATGGTTATACTGTTTGCAGAATTTTGACATGGACAAACTGTCTATTGATTCGAATACTTTAAATAAGTGAATAGTGTTTAATATTTATTTATTTTATGTTAAAATTTAGTATCATTCTAAAAAAATTTCGATAGTTCTGTTTTTTTTTTTCCAACTATTATTGCATTATAGTTTTGGCAATTAAACTATGTTGTTTCAATTTTGAAAGTTCACGTTGTATTTGTTTGATTTGCATATTTTCTACAAAGTGCTCAGATAACTTTCGTTAAAGATTTAACGTTTGTTTGACAAATTTATTAATAGTTTATAAAGAGAAGGATGCTGCAACAATGTCGCGAGTTACCTTAAGCATAAAAACACATAGTTAGGCCCCCCCAAGTATGTAGTTAAAAACCTTGCCTTCTCAAAAAATTTCTATGCTTGCTATTATATGTTTCATTTTTTGCATTCTATAACTCATCATCCGCTCATCTACTGAAAATCTAATGTTCATTGTTTTTTCTTTAATGTCTCAATCAATCGAACCCGAGAATAAGTCAACATATAAACGTAGTATAGAACAGAAGTTTAATCATTCTCTAATTGTGGGTGTAGGAATCTTTGAAGAATTTGCCTCGATGATGCACCTAAAAAATGAAGCCAAATTTGGTAAGATCATTTTGCTTGATTAGATATTTGTCCTCAAGAACATAATTTACGTCATGTTAATATATCTCGACATTTTGCAATATTTTTTCCCCAATACACGGCATAACAAATTTAGACGTCACTTTTCCTTATAAATACCACCTACATACTCATGACAGTTAGTAAATATCTTATCTAGAATGGAGAGTTGATCATTACTATGCTATGCATGCTATGTTTGCATTTGCATTTGTATTATTATTTTAAAGTTTATCATTATACTAGGTGCAAGCAACGTGCAATGCACGTTTACTTAGTTTATATTTAATATTTTTGTTTAATAATTAATTTATTATTAATAAAAATGTAATTTTTTTGGTTAATTAAGGGCGTGTCTGGGCACGCTGCAAGG